GTGTGAGCATCAAGAAGCAGTTTCGTGCTGGCTTGCGTGCAGAGTGCGAGAGCACGGTCCCTTTCGTGTTTCGCGAAGAGCTGGCTGTATGTGAGGTATCCAACGCGAAGCGGCAGCCCTGGCAATCCTTCACAGTCCTCGGAGGACTGCAAGCCATACACTCGATAAATCTGAAGCGAAGTTGGTACTGTGGGGATGAGCACCAAGGCTAGGAACCACACGGCACCTGCAAACCCTTCCCTTTACCGTCATGATCAAGCTGTCGCTGCCGCTTGCACGGACTCCACTGGACTCCGCACTTGGAGTCTCTGATCGCTGCCCTGGGGTACAGCTGAACTCCTCCAGAACAGCATCTATGCGCTACGATGAGAGTGAAGTCTTTTTGGCAGGTACCTCTGTGACCATTCAGACTCTCCTCAACTTCCACGGTTCCCCTCCCTAGCCGTCCATAGCCACCGTACCTGCCTTTCCCCGGCCTGTCTCCAGAGGGCTGGAGGCGATATTCCCACATATCCCGGATGTGGATGAGCGATGGCGCGCACCCCGAATATGAGAACGACTTGGTGCCAGCAGCGAACGCCACCATCTAGCACACATTCATACACGTGAAAAGGCGGCACGAGATGCAAATGAATGCAAGGGGCACCGTCCCCTAAAAGTTTCAGAAACCCCCTCACAGGGTGAGACAGGATTGGTTCACAGCGAGGATGCCAGCCAGGCTGAGCTGCCCTCTTGGAAATTCTTGGAAATTCTTAGGGACTCTTAGAGAGATTCTTAGAGAGATTCTTAGTGATTCTTGGGCTGCGGCTCTTTTTGTTCTCAGTCTTCGTGTTTCGACACTTGCAATTCCACTTTGTCACTTTGCGGTCACTTTGTGGTGTTGCCAAGTCGTTGTCCGCTCCTTCCTGGATAGCAAGGAAGCACATGCGCTGTCAATACAACGCAGCACCTCTGTGAGTCACAACCACCCAGGCCGAAACAGAGCAGAGCTTCTGTGACACGGGGCCATCTCTGAACTTCAAAAAAGGAATTCCTTTCAATTCATGTTTTTTTTTTCGTGCCCTTTCGTGCCCAGGTGGAGAAGGTCTCCAAATTGAGTCGAAACTAGAGGAATGCCAGGCTGCCTTCGGCACAGCCTGGAAGTGAAACCGGGAGTCCGGACTGGACCACCTGAGGTCACCTGGTCCGGCTGAGCAGGGCCACCGCTGTCAAAATCAGGTCCCGGAAGACTCGCGCCAGCGCCCGATGAACACCTTACTGTCACTTGGCGAATCGGCCCGGGAATGGATCGTGTCGAGAGACCAGCGGGTAGCTTCTGCCGAATTTTCAGGCAGTCGGAGGTCGGTCGTGAAGGATGCTGCCCCCCCCCCATGTCAGCAAGAAGAAATGAGCCTGAAGTAAGTGCAGAACATGATCTGGATCAACGCAGATCTCTGATCCCCCATCTACCCCGAGGGCATGCGCTTTGCCGCTAGGACTCCTATGGCAGGGCGGGCGCCATCGCGCGCCATGGGGCGCTTCTGCAGGCTTTCGAGCTTTCATGGCCCTACTCCACTCGGGCTCCAGCCCTGCCACTAAGGCTCTTGATTGGCCCGTGCTCAAGCTTCTTGTAGCTACGAGCACGTCTTGGTCCATGCGTGCATTGAGTAATCCGTTGGCAAGTCCGGGTAACTTGCGATGCGTTTCTTCACCGACGCAGGGACGTGGCTTGATTCCAGTCTCTTTACAATACTGAGATTATTCGGCATATGACATCATATGACCATGTACGATTGAGCGAGAGTTGTCTGATACGAGATTTGACAACTTTGAAGCCACGGCCAAGCAGCGGTGTAGCACACCGACGGCTCTGGCCCTCCAAGCCACTGATGTGGCTCCGCTTCCTCCGAGCCCTTTTCAAAGGTGCAGGGTAGCGCACTCCGACCGAAAGATATGCCCTGAAGGTAGCCTCTGGTTTGCTGTCTACGGCCCGCACGCTCAGGGCACGGAGGAGGCGCAACGGCTGATAATCTGGTACTTCGTACACAGACAGCATCTCCTTGGACCACAAGCGCACCTCCTGCGCTCTGCCAACTGGGATGCTGTGGCATGGTGTACTGGAAAAACAAGCTACAGAAAGTGCATCTCACCAGCGTTCTTGCAACAACTTGCGAGAGCATCGGCGTTGAGTCAGCTTTACATACTCAGGGGATGGGCTGACGGCTAGGGTCGTTGTAATGTTTTTCACGTGGTGAGCGGCGCTTCTGCCTACAGCCAACTCGACAGATTGGCCACAAGATATAAGCAGTGAAAGTGAAAGTGCCTTAGGCACGCAATCATGGGGGCTGCAAGGCGTCGTAATGCAGTCCTCCTTGATAGAGTACCTGGGCGCAAGTTCACTTGTGCGACAGAAGACACCGCAAGGATTTGCTGAACTTCTTGGCAAAGACACCCCCTCGTTTCATCAGCGATCCTGATTCTTCCCGCCCTTCGGAATCTCTTGACTAGGAGCTGCAATGTACACAAGCCTTACATCTTCAAATGGCTCGTGATGGCTCGTGAGTCCTTACTCCACACAGCTGAGGCCACTGGCATGGACGGTGCGAACGTATCGGTCCTGAATTGTACAGCTAGCTGCAGCTAGCTGCACCGCTGGCGCCCGCAACTTGCCCTGATGCATGGTCAAACCTGTCAAGATCCCTGGCCTGCTTCGGGGCATCAAAGCATGAGATCCGCTTGAAGTCGCAGGAATTCCTGCACAAGTGAACAAAGGATGGGCCTCGAAGCTGTTTCTGACAACTCCATAACTATGGGCCATGGGTCCTGCTGACGCTCTCGTAAACATGGATGTTTACGTTCTTCAACTGCGAGCAGCAGGCCTTCGCAAAGTGAAGGCATATCGTACAAGCAAAGTCTGCCAGTCTGATCAATGTAGCGCGCATGAAAATCTAGTAAACGGGCAGTCCGGACCAAAACCCGAGGCACGGACCATTTCGATGCCGCCGCCCCAGCCAGACATGCTCTGACGACTGGCGTACCTTCCAGCACCAGATGGAGGAGAGGCACGAGCAAGTTCAAGAAAGAGGCGAAGACCATTGAGATTTTGGGGCACTGGTCGACAGAAGAGTTCGAGTCCCACCGAACCCATTCCTGGCCAGTGCGACCGAAAGACAAATCACTCTGAATGTCTCTATCGCACAAGCTACTTTCGGACAGTTCACCCCTCTGGCGCTTTTGGTGTTTTGAAAACTCGGCCATGGATGGCCCCAGCCCGCCGTGTCACTATCGGTCGGCTTTGTTCCGCGTGTTCCGCTTCGCTTATGCCGCTTGGAGGCTGAGGAGCTTCTGCTTGTTGCAATCCGTCCTCGAGCGTGTCTCCGGCAATCTCCAAGCTCGGTCGGTCGCGGAGGAACTGGGCTAACTCTCGACCTGAGCCAGACCGAGACCAGAACAAATGCAGAATCTTCTCTGCCCCCTGGGTTCCAAGCGAAGGCTTCTTGCATCGGTGTCGCCTAGTCCTGGCAACCGGGTCACAAAGAGTTGCAGCACGTAGCACATGTGGTACGCGAAGCACATTGGAGCTTAGGGCCGTGTCCACTTTCCCATGCAGCTCAAGTTGGAACCGTCATTTTGCAACCCCAAGGAACATCAGAACATCTGGAGTGCGATGGAGAGCAAAATGACTCAACATGACCAATACTGGCAGCGCGCACCATAGCTGAGGGAATGGTACAAGCAGCTGCCATCTCCAGGTTGGCGAACAACCCGCGCGTTCCTGCTCAAGGCTTGTTGCAAGCAAATGCCGCGTAGCAAAGCGAGATTGAAGCTTCGCACAGCGCGATGGGCTTGCACTGAAGCGTGCCCAATGCTCCTGAGGACGAAGTTGCCAGGGTTGCCACCCATTTGGTGCGGGTTGTTCTTGCAGCCATAGTTGACCTCCACAAGCAGTGGAGGTCAGAGAGAGAGAGAGAGAGGCAGAGAAAAAGAGAGCGAAAGCAAAGAAAGACAAAAACATGAGGGCGAGAGAAACAGATGGTGTTTATGGAGAGCGCTAAAGAGACCGCCCCTTCCAAGAGCCGGGCCCAGGCATCTTTGTGCTTTTCCCTCTCTTTCTGGAAGTGCGGGCACCTCATCACTTGTGAAGCGTCTGAAGGCTCTTCTGAAGGCTCTTCTGAAGGCTCTTCTGAAGGCTCTCTCCACCAGGAAAGCCCTTGTGTACCCTTCCCTCGTCCGCCTGTCAGTTGGATGCTTACCATCGCACTTATCGCAGGTGCTGGATCCGGAACTCCCGGCCGAGTTTACGCCTCCCAATGGAGCTATTCCCAGCTGACAGCTTCGATACAAAAATGTTGGCACCGGGCCTTCGCGATGTGATGTCATCCTACCAGCGCACGTCTACTTTGCAAAAAAGACAACATCCCTCATAGAAGCTCGCACAGGTTGCCTTGCCTGCCAGGTCCCACAGCAACACTCTTGCTGCGATTGCTTCCCTGGGCCATACGTGATATGGTGCACGAAATCGGAATACATGCATGTTCGAGTCTAAGTCAAGCTAAGTCTGCGTGCGACCTTTTCCTGTGACAGGCGTGCATTCGGGCCAGGCCCCTGGCGTCCCCAAGACTGCGAGGCACTGGAAGCTGACCTTGAAGAGACGAGAATCTCAACAAACTCGCTCAGAGCGCAGTTTCAAACTCTTGGATACTGTAGGGGTGACTGCCGCAGTCCCTGAGCCCCTCGGCCATCGAAGTTGAGGCCGCTGTTGGAACTCCGAGGCCCGCTAGAAAAATCGTCTGCGCAAGCAAGAAAAAGAGAGCGAGAGAGAGAGAGAGAGAGAGAAAGAGACAAAGAGACAAAGAGAGAAAGAGAGAAAGAGAGAAAGAGAGAAAGAGAGAAAGAGAGAAAGAGAGAAAGAGAGAAAGAGAGAAAGAGAGAAAGAGAGAAAGAGAGAAAGAGAGAAAGAAAGAGAGGGAGAGAGGGAGAGAGGGAGAGCGAAACAGAGTCGCGAGGCAGAAAGACAGACGTGCGACGACAGTATGCTGCACGGTCTGCTGCCCCTGCAAGTCTTGGCCTTTCTTCTGTCTTGTATGCCATGGTATACAATGGTTAAAGAGTTAAAGGGCTTGGAGCGAATGTGCAAAGACCGTGGCGACCAGCGCAACAAGAGCAAGGGCCTCGTCTCGGATGAAAGTTCCCTGTGACAGGAGTCGTGGGCCGTTCCTGGCGAGGCTACTAGGGCTGTTTGGGCGGGAGAGCTATTATGGGCGAACTCACCAGAACAGGCCTGGCTGGTTCGCCGACTTGGGCCCACAGAGCTATGTCCCCTGGCCACGTGCATCATGCTTCTAGTGGCTTAATTACAAGCTCGATCAGTAGCAGGACCAGGCCTGGTGGCAGTGTGGTTCGGAGGGAGAATCGCCTGCTGTGCGACCTCGAACCGAATGTGCCATCACCACTCACAGTACCCTCCGTCCCTGTTTGGCTGTTTCGCCACAACGCCTCTAGAAAATCGTCGCCAATCAACCTGATAATTTACCTGGGTAACACACTAGTTGGTGTCGGGGGCTGTTCAGGCACCCACCGTCTCAGCCTGATGAAGTTCGCTGTTTGGCGCCACGATCGTTCACACTTCGACAGCGGGGCATAGTGAAAACACCCTCCGCACTACTGAACTAGCTGCTAAGCACACTCTGTCAGCGAGATTAAGGGCAGCGAGGCACGGTTCAAGTTTGATGCTTCGTTGTTGTTTCGTTTACGGGGTCACAAGTATATCCGCTCCTCCCCTCTACTGTGGCCGGTGCCCGCGAGTGGATTGGCTGTGGAATCCGCGCCTGAAAAAGTGCGTCCGTCACTTTGCGGTGGCTGTGGCGGGTTGCGGCATGATATCAGTTGCCAAATTTCCCTCTCCCTCCTCTAAGGCCCTTGCGAGCGCTGAGGTCGTCCCTGTACCGATCCTGCAAGTTCCCGCGGCAGACGTTCAGGAGCCAAGAACAAACCAAAGACCCCAAAGACCGTAGCCACAAAAGCGCTGCCCTTCACCCTATACCGCTATGAGCGCTATAGGAATGTCCAGCAGGCTCAAACGCTTCGATTTCAACTACCAAACCAAATGAGCGCTTCGCGCCCTGGTAACACCACCTGCCTTGGGGGCATCGGTGCCGGCCGCCGCATCTGGGCCGGGAAAGATGCTTTCGGAGAGAACTTTTTGCTTTCAGAGAGTCTTAGGTGACTAAGGTGTGTTAAGGTGTCCCAGGGTGTCTTAAGGTGTTTTAAGGTGTCTTAAGGTGTCTTAAGGTGTCTTAAGGTGTCTTAAGGTGTCTTAAGAATCAGCGCATCACATGGTTCCTGAGGCGAAGGTGCCACGGCTCGACCATCCGAGGCCTTGCGCCCTTGCACCGGATTCCAAGAGCCCGACGTTGAGGGTGCTGTACGTTGCTGCCATCTCGGCGTCTCCTTTTGTCTCTAAGCTCTGCAGAAAGATAGGTAGAGGACACTCAACACTCTAAAGCAGACGTGGGTGGGCTATGGTGAGCTCATGCACGCATTGAGCGCGATTCCTTTGGGCTTGACTCTCTGCAAGTTTGCAGAACGCAACTCGGATCAGTTGCATTTGCCTGCTTGCGCCGGGCTGCTGCTGTACAGCAACTGTCTCCACAAGCGTGGAAACAGATCTCAACACGCCTGACCAGTTGCATCGTTGCCCCACATGCTTCACCATGTGTCGATGGTTTCTGCCGTTCCCATATCCCATCTAAGCTAAGTTGTTGCAAAGAATCTCCAAGCACAAGGTGCAAAGCAGAACACGGTAGATCAAAATGCTCCTGGCCTAGCTTGGCGGCTTTCCGCAGCTCGGAGAAAAGCTAAACAAGGCGCACTGCCTCAAAGCACAGAATGAAGAGACCTCTTAGAAGCCGAAAGTTGAAAGGGCCATAAACGTCGTGGAGTAAAGCAAAAAAGGATAACTTAGGCTGACGCTCGAAATCACCGCATGCGGGCTGCGGAGTGGTAGAAAGCATAGACAATCTTTGAGCCGGCGCAGTAGCAGATTGGAAATGCCACCATCTCAGCAATTGACATTGGAAAGCAGATTTGCCAAAGCATCAAGAGTACTCATAGCCACGCCACTCGGCTCGTTTTCGCCACTGCCGCAGGCAAGAAAGTACAATTTGAAATTTGGGGCACGGCTCCCCCGAAAGCTAGGACACTGTAAGGGCCGCACTCTGCTTCTTCTTCGCTTGTGAAATTGACTGCCTACCCAACTGCTCCGAACTCTGCAAAGAACCCCATAACATCTCCAAAAAACACAAGACAACCTCAAGAGAACGCTCTAGAACCCAGAAAAGTGCCACACCTGAAAAACCCAAAGACCATCAAAGACCTCTCACTCCCACCGCGACCAGCCCCAGGAGTGCCTCGGAGAAAATGATTTTTTGAGACACTGAAAAAGTCCTCTGTCAGAAGGGGCCTGGAGACGAGTCAACCCTCCCCGGTCTGGGGACCCGGCTTGCGGCTTTCTGCAGAATTCACCAAGACAAAGCTGGCCTTCTTGAAGGCATCCGGGCCCACCTGCACCCCCCCGTCTTCAGAAGCCCTATACTAGCCTGCGTTCACTGTCGACCCCCCAACCCACCCCCCCCCCCCCCCCCCCCCCCCCCCCCCCCCGCCTGCTTGGGTCGCGGCTCTTCCGCGTCCTGTTGCGAAGGGACATGAGCTTCGGATTTGTCACATCAGATTTCTTGCGTGGTCTGGGTTCCAGGGCGTCTTCCGGAGATAAAGGCGATAAAGGGGCTCGGGTATGTCTGTGCTTCGGAGGGCTCTGATGGAGGCTCACACGTACGAAGATGGCACTCGGCACCTCGAGCGGCTGGCAGGTGAAGCTCTCCATGCACCGCTCTGCACACTGCTTGCAGTTGCTGCCTGGACCGAAGCAAACGAAGCAAACGAGCAGAAAGGTGAGCGCACCTCTTTGTTCGAGCTCTGCGGCTCTGCGACAAAGTGCCTGCTGGGAAATACTCCGGGTAGCTCCGCGCCAGGTGGAGGGCCGTCTCCCCAAGCTGCGCAGCGCTGCGCAGCACGGAGCCAGCGTTCACCTCGCAGCGCCCCAGGTCCTGCGAGCCCGCGTGACGGTTCACGGCAGCACGACGGCAGCACGACGGCAGCACGACGGCAGCGTGAGAAGAAGCCAATGATAAATCTTGAAGCAGCAAATTTTAATGGTGCCCGTTGAGAAGAAAGAAACACTACAGTCACTACGGTTGTCCCATGTGGGCTCCGGCTTTGTCTGTGGCCTCTGCTGGTGCCTCTCCCTTGGGCCGGAGAATTAAAATTGGGATTTTTTTTTATTTTTTTTTTTGCTTTAGGGTTTAGGGTTTAGGGTTTAGGGTTTAGGTTTTAGGTTTTAGGGTTTAGGGTTTAGGGTTTAGGGATCAGGGTTTAGGGTTTAGGGTTTACCAGTAGCAAGGACAAAAAACAACAAAAAATCCAAAAAACAAACCAAAAAAATCCTTAAAAAAATAGACCTCCTCTCCCATTCTTGGTTGGCACTGGGGTGTTCCGGGGTTCCGGAGGGGTCCATTGGATGTACGCGTCGGCTCTCTGAAACTCCTCGCATCTAAGCCGTTCTTTTTTTCTTCTTTGTTAGTGCGGCGGATGCCCGCACTGCCGGGGCGTGTCTGCAACCTTCGACTTTGCAGTTCCCCGTGGACTCCTCCAAATCCGTGCTGCGCGATCGTCTTCTTCACGTGTTGCTGTTTCTCCCCTCGTGGGCTGTGTTGGGACATGTTGTTTGCCCCCGTTGGGCGCGTGCTTTCTTGCTAGTGCTCTGCTCTCCCCCGCCTGGCGCCTGCTGTGCTGGCAGCGGTTGTGGTGTGGCCCCCCCTTGCCCCGACTCCCCCGGCTGTTCTGCCCGGCATTGGTCCCATTGTGAATAAGTCGTCGGGTGCGTCGCGTGGTTTGGGTGGTCTGGGTCCAGTGTTCGTTGTATCTGGTACGGTTGGGCAAGTCTCTCGCCTCTTACGGCGAGATGTTTGCCCCGCATTGCTGGGTCCGGGGTTTGCTTCTTCGCGTTTGGTTCGTTTGCGCTGCTGGGCCTTGGGTCCGTGCTAGATCTCTTGAGGATCAGAATGGCGGCGCCTTCCCCGCTTTGTGGTGGGAGTGCTACTGTGTAGGGGCGCCAAAAGGGCCTGCCTCGTGGCTGACGCTGTCTGGTCCTGTGCTTTTCGCCTTTTCCAAGAGTTGGTTCCAAGGTGAACATCTTCGTTCGTAACCCTGCAAGATTTGGAGTTTCTAGCTGATCTCGTCGATGGCTTGTATGATTCCCCCGAAGTGATCTTGGAGTTTGTTCTGCCAGTCGGGGTCGTCCAGGCGTCCACGCTCTCTTTGTTTGTTGTTCGCCCCGTCGCCAGCGTGCTGGTGCTCTTGTTTACGTTGGTAGAAAATGTGTCCCCATATCTGTCTGTGGGCTCCTCCTGGCATCTAAAGACAGTCTGAGGCAGAAGCCCGGTTGCCAACCCAAGCTGATCCCTGTCCCTGTTTCGATGAAGGGAAAGAACAGCAAAGGCCTATACGCTTGGGCTACAGCCTCTATAGCCCATAGCTGGATCGGACGCATATAAGTCACAACAGTCTGCAGTCACGCTGACTAGCAACGATCACGCTTTACACCTTTGCCCCTTTCAGTCACGTATCAGTTTGCCATCCAAAAGCCACCTCCCCTGAAGAGACATGCACCGAGCAAAAAAGAACATCAACAACACACACACACACACACACACAGAGAAAGAGAGAGAGAGAGAGGCACGCACGAAAGCACGCACGTACGTACGTTCCTTCCCCAAAGGCCATAGTCTCCCCCCTGCGAGGCCCACACGCCAGGAAAAGTGGCCAACAACTTGAGTACAGTTCCTCCTTGAAAAGACAACTGGGAAAAATGCCAGAGTTTTGCCCCTGCAGAGCCCACACGCCAGGACAAGAAAATGACAGAAATTCCTGCACTGGCTGGGCAGCTCTTGTGTCCTGGTAGTAGAAGGAGCTGACGTCCTCAGGGTTCTTGATGCCATGGTGAAACATGGGCCCGACCTCCTCGCTCGCCCACCTCATCAGAAGCCGCTGAGAGACTCGCTTCGAACTCTTGGCTGCAACAAGCAAACACATTGCACATACATACAGTAGACTGCCTGTTGAGGAAGACTCCATCGGCCACGTAGAACTCTAGACGTGGCCAAAGCGTCAGGGAGCCAGTGGGCATCCGCCAGGCACGCGCGGGTCCAATGGCCTGTACAAGAAGCTTTGAGAAGCAAAGTTGAAGACAACAGCAAACACCCTTAGAATCCCTCACGCTATGCCGGCGCCTCCTTGGTACAGTGCACGTAGTCCCAGTACGGCTGCAAATCTGTTACCTGGCGAGACTCTGGAGCTTCGTCCGGAGCTTGACGCATCAGCGTCGCACAAGGCGGCGCCTGGCTTGTCAAGTTCTTGTACATGTCGAAACAGGTCTCGTAGCCCTCCACACGGAGTGTCTCCATTACCTTAGCCCAGCACACAACCTTTCTCAGCACGTCGGGCGTGAAGCAAGAAAGGCTGCAACAAGAAAAGGCTGGTGGCACCAAAGGCGCCACCAACTGAATGGCACCGTTGTCCGATGAGGAGAAGCCGCTGGGGCGGTGGTCGTAGTAGTTGGCCCAACGCATGAGGAAGTCCCGTGCGAAGGCTGTGTTCCGTACCATGTAGTTGCCTGAGCCATTCAAGAGGCCCTGCGCAGACCTAGTCTCTGGGTGCTTGCAGTGCACGTGTTTCAGGCCGAGGACCAGCCATGATCTCGTGAAACAGGCAGCCTCAAGCTCTTCTTGGCTCTTCTTGGCTCTTCAAGCTCAAACTCCTCTTGATTTTTAGAGATCAGGACGGTCAATTCTTACAGAGATCAGCTCGACTCGGCTCAGGGCGATTGTAAAGCTGAACATCGGCACCGTGGTCGATCCACTTCTCCTCCGCTATCAGGTCGCATCGCCCGACAGTCCCAGAAGAGGAGAAGGATCCAGACAGAGGAAGGCTGAGGTCGCATCCAGCCCCCTCTTCGGCGCCGCCGCAACGACGTCGCCGTCGAAAACTGCTGCCACGTAGTCAGCTGGCTGGGTCTCCAGCCACTTCGAAACTGTGCAGTGCTTTCCTCGGCTCTGCTTTGCTTGGAGGCTGTGGTGTTGCTGCCTGGGTCAGTGATGGACAGACCTTGCTGCCGGGGCTCGAAAGAAAAAGTCCTTGAAGTGCCAGCATGCATCGTACTCAGAGGCTGTGAGCAAGTGCATATCATAGCCGTGCCTGAATCAGAGGGCAGCAGGGCAGCCGCAGAGGTCGGTCCAGTCACCCAGTCACCCGGTCACCCGGTCACCCGGTCCCTGCCCCCGGTCCTGTCGGCATAGCACCTCATGCTCTGGATCTGGGACTTAAACCGACCTCAACAGGGAGGGCTCTTGAAAACGCTCTTGAAGACGCCGAAGCCAAGGGAGAGAGGGGAGGGACAGAGTTCGACTCGGAGAGAAAACTCAGGTCACGCGGCGTTGGAAAGCCAGATCTCCCACCTCACCGCACCCAAAAGAGACAAAGCTTCCAACTTCCAACAGCGCTTCCCTGTGCAGCCAATGCCACCACCACGATGCCCACATTCCTTCGTGTTGCCCGCAGCTTGCTGGCATCGGCGGCGAGGAGTCCTCCGGGGCCGCATTCAACAGGTGCGGCCGTACAGCTCAGTCCTGCTGAGTTCCCTCAAGCTTCTCTCAAGCTTCTCTCAAGCTTCACTCAACTTTCTCTCAACCTTTTCTCCTGCAAGGCCTAGGATTGCCAGGATGGCAACGCACTGCATTGTGGCGGAGCTGCCCCTGCGGGGCTCGAGCCCAGTTCGAAGGGTGCGCGACAGCTTCGCAGCAGCTTCGCAGCAGCTTCGCAGCAGTTTCTCACGACCTCTCGCGCCCTTCCAACCCTCATTTGCTCATTTCTCCGCGGATCCGTGCATGTTCTGCATCTGCTCCGTCGTTGCACTTTGCACCTCGAGCTCCAGGAGCTCCGAGAGGTGAGAACGCCGGGGCCCGGCTTTGTGACGCTTTTGGGTGTGTGTTTCGGGGTGTCTGTTTTGGGTCCAAAGCCCTGTGAGGGTACCGATGGGCTTACGGCAGGGGCCCTGGCAAGGTGACTTGGGGGGGCCACCCCACTTAAGCTTTAAAAGAGCAATCGCCGAGGCGCTTCAGTGCCAAGAGGGCACCTACACAGAGCGAATTTCCTACGTTCCGGCACCAGTTTCCTGGGGCTTCAAAGCTTTCCCGGTAAGTCTGAAATGCACTGCTGAAAACACTTGGGCCTCTCTCCTTACAGATCCCAAAACCGAAAGCTGCTGAAGACAGCACTAAACAGCCCTCTCAAAGTCAGCGCTGTTAAACTGTTAAGGCGGACTCAGGGGGAGGCCGCCTGCTCCAGGCTTCTCTCTCCGCCCGCTGGGCAGCCGCCCCGTCCGCCGGAAAACGGCCCCTCTGAGGCTCTCCACAACTCAACAACTCAAAGCGCGCGCTTTGAGAGCTCCGGCGCTTGGAGTGGAGGGCTCCGAAGCAAGGGGCGCCTCTACGAGAGAACTAACGGGAAACAATTCCGTCTGCACTTTTCACGATGACCTGCACCTCCCCACGAACCTCCCTCCGGCCTCACTGTGCACAAAACTGCGCAACCGCCAGGATGATCTCCTCATTGACCAATGCGAGGCCCATGAAATGGCATTTGAAGTATTCTCTGCGAAATACGGTCCCCCCGTCCCCGCCAACTTATCGTTTACTCCCGAGCGGCATGCTGCTTCTCAGTGGCACGGACGAAGCGTTCGTTCTTCTGAAGCGCGGGAGCCTCAAAGGGAGCTCCGAAGCAAAATTGTGCGCAAAAAAGGGCGCGTGGTGTGCAAAGGTGCAAAATGTGCAAACAGGCGAAGGGCAAACACGCACATTCTGAGCATTCTGAGCATTCTGGGCGTTCTGCATTCTGGATGCCGGCGATAGTCATCTCTTCCGGCGACACCCCATACCTGACTCATGAATCCAGGTGCTTTAGACAGCCACTTAGGCACACAGAAGCAAAGAAGCAAAGCAGCTCTGAGCTAACGGGCCTTCTTTCCACTGCCGCACTTGCCAGGGACTGCACCTTGAGGGCGCTTCATCATCAACACAGTATACAGCAGACAGTATACAGTGCAGTGTGCAGTGCGCACTCTCAGAGACGCTCTCGTTGGCATCTCGACTGGGACAGGGGGCCATCTGCATGGCGGTCTCCGCACGCCAAGGCGAAGCGGACGCCTTGGCGGCCGCGCTCGAGGCCTCCGAGAGGCGCTTCATCTCGTCCACCATCAGCTCCTCCCCCCACACCACTGCGTCTAGGGAACGATGATAAACCCCCCACGTGTGTCTATTTTTTGGGGAACGATTACAAAGGAGAGAAAGAGCTAGCTGTCCCAAAAGACGGGCTCCGAGGGGCATCCCCGGCAGTCTCTCTCCCACCTGCATCTCCACAATCTCCGATGGCTTCATCTTCTTCCCCTTCTTGTCCTGGACGAGAGGCCCAACCAAAGCCCAGACACAAACGAGATACCGTTGGAGCGAGGTGGATACCCCAGAGCGCGTCACTACCACCAGCCATTCAAAAGTTGAAAGAACTGATGAGGACTGAAAGCTAGAAAACCAGTTGCTTCATACAGGGCAAAAAAAAGGGGAGAGAGAGAGACAGAAAGAAAGAAAGAAAGAAAGAGAGACAGAGAGAACCCTTCCTGGGTGCGTGGGTATCCTTGCCAGTCGAAAGGCAAGAAGTGACATTGTTGTGCACAAGGAGTAGTATCAGTCCAAACGCAAACCGGACGAAGAGCGAGGACATGTCCACCGAGACAGCCTGAATCCTGGATCTTACTTCCAGAAAATTTCTGGAGCCTTCAACCATTGAACCAACAAAATCATCCAGCTGTGCAGTACGAGTAGCTTACCATGCCCGCACTGCTTCCTTCTCATTGACAGAAGTACAGTGAGATGACGATGTCAAGCCACAACAATGACTGCAAAACAAAACACCCGATTCTTGTTTCTTTGAGAAACGCTACTGTGTGCCCTTGCAGCCCACTACGTCTTCTGCGGATGAAAGTTGATTACGAACACATGCTGGTGGCCTGATGCTGAACCCATCAACCTCTAGACATGGCCGGCGTTCAGGCTTGATTCTTGCATCCTCGTTCGACTTCAAGCTAAATCTCCTTAGCCCCAAATCTGGCATGCCTCCGGAAGAGGCGTGGTGGCGTCGTTCTTGAGCAAGGAGGTGACACAGCTGGCCCTTGAGCAAGCTACACTGCCACAAACGATGTCCTCATCGTGACTGGCCCTGAGCTGAAAGCTTTCTAGAAGTTATAGCAGCTTCAGGGTGTTTTGAAGTGTTTTGGGGAGTGTTTTGGGGAGTGTTTTGGAGTCTTCCTGGCGCCCCCGGCATGAGGAGGCTGTTCTCCACGCCGGCTTTGGACCAAGCACTGCGCACCTGTCTGAGTGGGTCCAGGTTTTTTTTAGTGTTTTTTTTTTCTGTTTTTTTTTTCGTGTTTTTTCATGGTTTAGGGTGGGGTTTAGGGTTTAGGGTTTAGGGTTTAGGGTTTAGGGTTTAGGGTTTAGGGTTTAGGGTTTAGGGTTTAGGGTTTAGGGGTTAGGGTTTAGGGTTTTGGGTTTAGGGTTTAGGGTTTAGGGTACGGGGGGCAACCGAAGGGGGACAAGGAACCAAACAGTCAACCCCAACCGAAGCCCTTAACTCCCCTGGACCAACCAAAAACCAAACCCAAACCACAGGGCACTCTACTTTTTGTTTCAGGCCCAGATTCTTGAGCCAAAATGGATATCGGGTTTTTGCAACCCTTTCAATACTACCTTTTTATACAAACTGCAGCTCCGCACTCCCCCTGTCCCAGACATTGCTGGGACACCCTTGGAGGTGCAGATAACGGGCCAAAAACTGTCCTTCTTGACAGTAGCCCTCTGCTACTTGGATGTCTCAAGAACATCACATCCCTTTTTGGGCATGCATACCTTGGTTTTACGTCATCCAGGACGAACCTTCAGCACATTGGCCGAATTCTTTTCACCGTTGAGGATCTTTTCACCTCACACGGATAAAGTCTACGTTCCAGTAAACTGTTCTTCATCAAGGAATTCAGCGTCCACCACCCAACCTTTTTTGACGCAGCGCTTGCAAAGCGTTCTGGCCCTGGGCTGTGAATAACGCAGAACATCACAGTCACTGCTCGCACGCATACAGTTCCCACCCGCTGTTGTATACAAAGTGGCACTCGTGGGAACAACCACCACCTTCCTGCTCCACAGCCATTTATACAGCCGCCGAAGGATATACCTGGCCAGTTCCCAGAGCGAGATGATTGCCACCAGATACGCAACGATATCCACATTGTTAATGACCGTTTCAATACCTTGAGCCGGAACCATAACCGTAGATGTGTTGGATGCTCTGCACACTCCATCTTCTGAGCAAAAGAACCCAGTTTTTTACGCTTCTTCTCCACCCTGAACTGGTGCCATCCCTTGAAGAGATGCAGCCACCATCATGACCGCCACAGCAAGAGTAGCCTTCTTCAGGTCAGTCCCTCGAACCAACATCTGGAGACCCCAAAGGGCCTTTTGCTTTGCATGAACCTGTCCGCTCATCAGCTTTGTTAACAGGTCAGCAATCATGTACTCACCAACGGAGATGTGCAATTACCATATATCCACGGTCCACCAGAGACCTAACACCAGCTGCTCGGATTCGTAGATGTCGGGTCCTCCAGCTGCCAGCAGGGTACTGAATAATCGAACACGTCGACACAGAATCTGTACACAACACCTTTTGCAGTGCTTCTTCACCTGTTCCAACCAAGGAGGCAATTATTGGAGTGCACGACTGTATCACTGTTGCACCCTCAATTGATGCGTGTAACTCAGCTTCGGCAGTACTTAAAGCCACCGTTGATTGTCTTTGCGTTGCCCACATCACCGGACAATCACCGGTGAAGAAGTTATCCGCGTCTTTTTTTTTTGGGTTATCTGCGTCTTTTTTTTTTTGGTTGTCTGCGTCTTTTTTTGTGGTTACCTGCGTCTTTTTGGTCTTGGTTTCCTGCAGCGCCTCGCACTTTTGCTTCCATCCTGAGTTGTCTGCATCTTTTTTTTTGGGTCATCTGCGTCTTTTTTTGCCTTCTTGCGTTGAGGGTTCAGGTTTGCGGAGAGGTTCAAGGTTTAGGGTTTAGTTGGGGTTTCGGGTTTAGGGTTTAGGGTTTGGGGTTTGAGGTTTAGGCTTTAGGGTTTACAGTTCAGGTCTTGGGGTTTGAGGTTTAGGGTTTGGGTTTAGGGTTTAGGGTTTAGGGTTTAGGGTTTAGGGTTTAGGGTTTAGGGTTTAGGGTTTCGGGTTTAGGGTTTAGGGTTTAGGGTTTAGGGTTTAGGGTTTAGGGTTTCGGGTTTAGGTTTTGGGTTAGGTTTGGGGAGAGGTTTAGGGTTTAGGGTTTAGGGTTAGGGTTTGGGCTTTGAGGTTCAGGCTTAGGGTTTACAGTTCAGGTTTTGGGGTTTGAGGTTTAGGGTTTGGGTTCAGATTTTAGGGTTTAGGCTTTAGGGTTCAGGGTTTAGGGTTTAGGGTTTCGGGTTTAGGGTTTAGGGTTTGGGGTTGGTTTTGGGTTAGGTTTGGGGAGAGGTTTAGGGTTTAGGGTTTAGGGTTAGGGTTTGGGCTTTGAGGTTTAGGCTTAGGGTTTACAGTTCAGGTTTTGGGGTTTGAGGTTTAGGGTTTGGGTTCAGATTTTAGGGTTTAGGCTTTAGGGTTCAGGGTTTAAGGTTTAGGGTTTCGGGTTTAGGGTTTAGGATTTGGGGTTTGAGGTTTAGGGTTTGCGGTTTGGGGTTTGGGGTTTGAGGTTCAGGGTTTCGGGTTTAGGGTTTAGGGTTTGGGGTTTCGGGTTTAGGTTTTGGGTTAGGTTTGGGGAGAGGTTTAGGGTTTAGGGTTTAGGGTTTAGGGTTTCGGGTTTCGGGTTTCGGGTTTAGGGTTAGGGCTTTGAGGTTTAGGCTTAGGGTTTACAGATCAGGTTTTGGGGTTTGAGGTTTAGGGTTTGGGTTTAGGGTTTAGGGTTTAGGGTTTAGGGTTTAGGGTTTAGGGTTTAGGGTTTAGGGTTTAGGGTTTAGGGTTTAGGGTTTAGGGTTTAGGGTTTAGGGTTCAGGGTTCAGGGTTTAGGGTTGAGGGTTTAGGGTTTGAGGTTTAGGGTTTCGGGTTTAGGGTTTGGGGTTTGAGGTTTAGGGTTTAGGGTTTAGGGTTAGGGTTCAGGCTTTAGGGTTTGGGGTTTAGGGTTTCGGGTTTAGGGTTTTGGGTTTGGGGTCTCGGGTTTCGGGTTTAGGTTTTGGGTCAGGTTTGGGGAGAGGTTTAGGGTTTAGGGTCTGGGGTTCGAGGTTTAGGGTTTAGGGTTTAGGGTTAGTGTTCAGGCTTTAGGGTTTAAGGTTTAGGGTTTAGGCTTTAGGGTTTAGGGTTTTGGGTTTAGGGTCTCGGGTTTCGGGTTTAGGTTTTGGGGTTTGAGGTTTAGGGTTTAGGGTTTAGGGTCTGGGATGTGGGGTTTCAATTTTATATTTACAGGGTTTACGCTTGGGATTTAAGGTCTAGGGTTCAGGGTTTATGGTTTCTGTTTTTTAGGGTTTAGGGTTTAGGGTTTAGGGTTTAGGGTTTAGGGTCTCGGGTTTCGGGTTTAGGGTTTGGGGTTTGGGGTTTGAGGTTTAGGCTTTAGGGTTTACAGTTCAGGTTTTGGGGTTTGAGGTTTAGTTTAGGGTTTAGGGTTTCGGGTTTAGGGTTTAGGATTTAGGGTTTAGGGTTCAGGGTTTAGGGTTTAGGGTTTAGGGTTCAGGGTTCAGGGTTTAGGGTTTCGGGTTTACGGTTTGAGGTTTGGGGTTCAGGGTTTCGGGTTCAGGGTTTCGGGTTTCGGGTCTAGGGTTTCGGGTTTAGGGTGCGGAGCTGCAATTGGTATTGTAGAAAGGAGTTAGTGTTGGAAGTTGGAAGGGTTAATGAACCCGGTAATCGTATTTGGCTCAAGATGGGCTTGAACAGAAAGCCACAAGTTCAAAAAGAAGTGCCTGGGTTCTTAGGGTTTGGTAAGGGTGTGGATTCCTTCCCCCTTTCCTTCCCCCCTGGGTTGCTCTTATCCGTGTTCTTGGTTGTTTCTTGGTTCGATCTGGGAAATATAAGTTCAGGGCGATTAGGGGAGTTGATTTCCTTCCTTGGTTGTCCCCCCGTAGGTTATGAGCCCAAATTAGGTTCCCTGCGGTTAAGTGTTCTTTCAAGGTTTTGGGATCAAGAAGCAATGCCTTCTCCGAAGCGATGGCTCCAACTTGCCTCGGATGGTGGACAAGATGGTGGAGCTGGAAATGGTGCAGCTGAGTCTCTGGGTGAAAGATCGGTGTTGGAAGAGGTGATTCCCGACGCTGAAGAACATCTGGAAGAGGCCTTGGTTGCAGAAAGCCCCAATGTGGGTATGAATCCCAATAGGGATATGGTTAGCAATGCTGAAGCTGAAGGACGTGCTGTTTCTGTACCGCCAAAGCCTGGTGAAAAAAGGAACTGGGATGCGACTGGTGGCATAGATCGTGAAATGGAGGTGACTGTTTTACGAGTGTTACACAAACACGGGTACCAGCCGTCGTCTTCGACTTCGGGTCGAATGGTAGACCAAGAGTCTCAGACCGATCTGATTGGAGAAGTGCTACAAGCGACCAGGAGGCCGTTGAACAAGATCAAAAAGGGTCCATCTTCGAGTTCCCAAGGTGGTGGAAGCGGTCACAAACAGAAGGGTGCGGACGGCTTTGAAGCTGCACCTGCTGCTGAATACGCCATGGGGGAGGAGGAGATCCTACAGATGGAGGCTGAACGGTTGCGACAGCTGTCAGAAGAAGAGGACGAGATGCGACAGGTTTCTGAAAGGGACGGTTTTCGGAAAGACGAGCATCTGATCCAAGCGTGTGATGGCACAATGTGGGAATTGCACCTCCATGAAGATGGGAGACAATATTATTACTGCCTGGATACGCACGAAACCAAGTGGACATTGCCGGTGGTAGGTGAAAAGGTGAAGAGTGACGAGGTGGTTGGGTCTCCTTTGGGCAATGAGCTGGAAATGGAGGCGGCACTGGATTCTTCATCCTCTACTCCGAAGACTGAGTCTACGAGGGCATTCCAGGGTAGTGTAAATAGTTTAGGTGAAAAAGATTTTTCCTCTACTATCAGGGATAGCGGTCCTAGGGCTGATGGTGACGCCCCGACCTCGGGTTCTCCTGATGAGGAAGGGATTCCTGGGAACCAAGCCAACATCGCTGGAGCTCAACACCTGGATCGGGAAGAAACAGAAGCGCTTTCTGAGGGTGGGGCAGCGATGGAATTGGTGGATCCAGAAGAGAAAATGCCCAATGAGGTGATCGGAACTGTGTCGGCTGCAGAAGAGCGAGTGGTGGATGTGGTACCTGTTGTTCAGGAAGGTGGTCCTG